GAATGGACGTACAAGCTACACAAATAGAGAGGAGAATCGACCTACAAGCTACACAGATAGAGCGGGGAATGAACGTACAGGCTACACAGATAGAGAGTAGAATGGACGTGCATGCTACACAGATAGAGAGGAGAATGGACGTACAAGCTACACAGATAGGGAGGAGAATGGACGTACAAGCTACACAGATAGAGCGGAGAAAGGACGTACAAGCTACACAGATAGAGAGGAGAATGGACGTACAAGCTACACAGATAGGGAGGAGGATGGACGTACAAGCTACACAGAAAGAGCGGAGAAAGGACGTACAAGCTACACAGATAGAGAGGAGAAGGGACGTACAAGCTACACAGAAAGAGCGGAGAATGGACGTACAAGCTACACAGATAGAGAGGAGAATGGACGTACAAGCAACACAGATAGAGAGGAGAATGGACGTACAAGCTACTCAGATGGAGCGGAGAAGGGACGTACAAGCTACTCAGATAGAGCGGAGAATGGACGTACAAACTACACAGATAGAGCGGGGAATGAACGTACAGGCTACACAGATAGAGAGTAGAATGGACGTGCATGCTACACAGATAGAGAGGAGAATGGACGTACAAGCTACACAGATAGGGAGGAGAATGGACGTACAAGCTACACAGATAGAGAGGAGAATTGGCGTACAAGCTACTCAGATAGAGCGGAGAATGGACGTACAAGCTACACAGATAGAGCGGAGAAGGGACGTACAAGCTACACAGATTGAAAGGGGAATGGACGTACAAGCTACAAAGATAGAGAGGAGAAGGGACGTACAAGCTACACAGATAGAGAGGGGAATGGACGTACAAGCTACACAGATAGAGTGGAGAAAGGACGTACAAGCTACACAGATAGAGAGGGGAATGGACGTAAAAGCTACACAGATAGGGAGGAGAATGGACGTACAAGCTACACAGATAGGGAGGAGAATGGACGTACAAGCTCCACAAATAGGGAGGAGAATGGACGTACAGGCTACACAGAGAGAGAGGAGAATGGACGTACAAGCTACACAAATAGAGAGGAGAATCGACCTACAAGCTACACAGATAGAGCGGGGAATGAACGTACAGGCTACACAGATAGAGAGTAGAATGGACGTGCATGCTACACAGATAGAGAGGAGAATGGACGTACAAGCTACACAGATAGGGAGGAGAATGGACGTACAAGCTACACAGATAGAGCGGAGAAAGGACGTACAAGCTACACAGATAGAGAGGAGAATGGACGTACAAGCTACACAGATAGGGAGGAGGATGGACGTACAAGCTACACAGAAAGAGCGGAGAAGGGACGTACAAGCTACACAGATAGAGAAGAGAATGGACGTACAAGCTACACAGAAAGAGCGGAGAATGGACGTACAAGCTACACAGATAGAGAGGAGAATGGACGTACAAGCAACACAGATAGAGAGGAGAATGGACGTACAAGCTACTCAGATGGAGCGGAGAAGGGACGTACAAGCTACTCAGATAGAGCGGAGAATGGACGTACAAACTACACAGATAGAGAGGGGAATGGACGTACAAGCTACACAGATAGGGAGGAGGATGGACGTACAAGCTACACAGATAGGGAGGAGAATGGACGTACAAGCTACAAAGATAGAGAGGGGAATGGACGTACAAGGTACACAGATAGAGCGGGGAAGGGACGTACAAGCTACACAGATAGGGGGGAGGATGGACGTACAAGCAACACAGATAGGGAGGAGAATGGACGTACAAGCAACACAGATAGAGCGGAGAAGGGACGTACAAGCTACTCAGATAGAGAAGAGAATGGACGTACAAGCTACACAGATAGAGAGGAGAAGGGACGTACAAGCTACACAGATAGAGAGGAGAATGGACGTACAAGCTACACAGATAGAGAGGAGAATGGACGTACAAGCTACACAGATAGAGCGGAGAAGGGACGTACAAGCTACACAGATAGAGCGGAGAAGGGACGTACAAGCTACACAGATAGAGAGGGGAATGGACGTACAAGCTACACAAATAGAGCGGAGAAATCTCTGTATGATTTGAACGTGCATTCTCCTCCCTATCTGTGTGATTTATACGTTCATTCTCCTCCTTAGCTGTGTCACTTGCACGTCCATTCCCCTTCCAATGTGTGTGACTTGTACGTCCATTCACCCTTCTCGCTATGTGACTTGTACGTCCATACCATTCCCTATCTGTGTGACTAGTACGTCCATTCACCTCCCCATCTGTGTGACGTGTACGTCAATTACTTTCCCTATCTGTGTGACGTGTACGTCAATTACTATCCCTATCTGTGTGACGTGTACGTCCATTCACCTCCCTCTCTGTGTGACATGTGCGTCCATTCCACTCCCAACATGTGTGACTTGTACCTCCATTCTCCGCTCTATCTGTGTGACCTGTCCGTCCATTCCCGTTCCTATCTGTGTGACTTGTACGTCCATTCGCCTTCCAATCTGTCCATTCCCTTTCCTGTCAGTGTGACGTGTACGTCTATTCACCTGAAGATCTTTGTGACTTGTACGTCCATTATCCTCCCTATCTGTTTGCCTGTACACTTACAACAACAATGTCAATGTGTGACTGGCACGTCGCTCCATTCTCCTCCCAATCCTCCCAATCTGTCTGATTTATACGACGTCAATTCCCCCGCTATCTGTGTGACATGTGCGCCCATTCCCTTTCCTGTCAGTGAGACTTGCACATCCATTCCCCTGAAGATCTGTGTGACGTGTATGTCCATTCTCCTCCCTATCTGTGCGACCTGTACGTCCTTTCTCCTCCCTATCTATGTGATTTGTACGTCTATTCCCCAAAATTCTGTGTAACTTGTGCGTTCATTCCCCTTCCTTTCTGTGTGACTTTATACGTCAATTCCACTAACTATCTGCGTGAGGTGTACTTCCATTCCCCGCGCTGTGTGACCAGTACGCCCATTCCACTCGCTATCTGTGTAACTTGTACATCCATTCTCTGTGCTATCTCTGTGACCTGTACGTTAATTGACCTCCTTATCTGAGTGACTTGTACGTCCATTCTTCTCCCTATCATTGTGACTTGTACGTCCATTCCCCCCGCCATCTGTATGACCTGTTCGTCCATTGTACTCCCAATATGTGTGACTTGTACGTACATTCACCTCCCAATCTGTGTGACGTGAACATCCATTCCTCTTCCTGTCTGTGTGATTTGTACGTCCATTACCCTGAAGATCTGCGTGACTTGTACATCCATTCCCCTTCCTATCTTTTTCACTTGCACGTCCATTCCACTCCCAATCTGCGTCACTTGTACGTTAATGCCCTTTCCTTCCTGTGTGACTTGGGCTTCCATTCCACTAACTATCCACTAACTATCTATCTTCCTATCTGTGTGACCGGTCTGTCCATTCCACTAACTGTCTGTGTGACTTGTACGTCCATTCCCCGCGCTATCTGTGTGACTTGTACGTCCATTCCCCTTCCTATCTGTGTGACCGGTCTGTCCATTCCACTAACTGTCTGTGTGACTTGTACGTCCATCCCCTCACTATCTGTGTGGCTTGTACGTCCATTCCCCTTCCTATCTGCGTGACCGGTCTGTCCATTCCACTAACTGTCTGTGTGACTTTTACGTCCATTCCCCTCCCTTTCTGTTTGACTTGAACGCCTGTACACTTACAACAACAATGTCAATGTGTGACTGGCACGTCGCTACTCCATACTTATCTGCGTAACTGGCGGCCTTATCTGTCCCGAAGTCATTACAAGCCCGCCTGTCGTGGGAAAACAATACCCTCCATCCCGTCCTATCTCCCCCCCCCCCCCCCCCCCCCCCAACTCTGTTCTAGTCTGCAGCCTGTCCAATTCGGGGGGGGGGGGGGGGGGGGTCTATTGCACATCAACATAACCTACACTGCTTCTAGGGTAGACTGCGCGACCAAGACAGGAGGCGCTTCCGAATACAAAGTACGTAGCATGGTATTCTGGTTCTCTGGTTCTGTCCCATATCAAAGACACCTTTTTTGACTGGTACATGAAAGAACGTGCCCGTGCGGCAATATGCTGTGTGAAAGAGGATATTATACCTCACATACATTTTAGAGGTTTTGTCTGAAATAGGGCCAAACGCTCTTGAAAACAACAAATGTAATAAAACAAAGAACAATTGCACTGTTTACGACTTGTAGTTTATCACACAGTGTAACTCATTAGGATAGATGGGGTCGTTTAATTCGTTATTTTCAAATAATTGAGTGATATGTACTATCTATAATCTGAAACAAATAGTATTATTAATAACATAATTTTATTTCCATTTAGTTCAATTAGAAACACACCAGTTTACTATGATTTATAACGTACGTTGACCAACTGAGCTGTCACTGATATCTTCATGACTCTACTAACTCAGCCTCAATGCATTCTTAAGAAGTGAATAAAAGCACACAACAGTGATCCTCGAACATAACGTCTTGCAACATAAGAGGCGCCAGTTTAGCAATATACCACATGGACCCAATGTATTGAGATACATGAGTAGAATATCAGGCATGTGTTTACAGGACAGTGAGGTTGCCCTTGTGCAATGAGCATAGAAGCAATAATTACATTGTTTAAGGTCAGCTTAAATAATACCATCATATTTATCTTGCCGAGCTGCTGGTTTCAGTGATGAGATGTGTACAAATTATTTGTACATGATGCTACACGTAGATTCAAACCCGTTTTAAGTGTCTCAACATCATACATTGGGCCTAAATTTTTTACCATGTTCCAGTTGACAGTAATAGAGATGAGGCGGATATTAAGATACTATATGAAAGGGTAACCAAGTGGATACAAAGCGCTAAACAGTTGAACTTTTTCTCATCAGTGTTTGAAACCAGACAAGTTAGTTTTTGTATTGATTTGGCTGCATCTTGTACGGGTTTGAAGCTTCTTTCTCATAATAATTGTTTTTGTCAGCGAGTAGAACTGCATGCTGCATACATACCTGTAGTAAGCTGCCGTCCAGAATAGCGTTGTGATGTAGTAAATGGGTATATAAAGAGTAGTGATGGCCTACTGTTCGGTCTGTTTGCTGTGGTGGACAGTAATGCCCCCACACCGCGTCTCGCTGTCAACTCTCTGCTGTCCCTCCACTAAAACAATGCAATTGGAATTCCTCACCAGAAACATGATATGCCTGCTCATGAAAGTACAAGTGGGTGTCGGAGCCCGCAATTAATCTTTAATCAGAATACACGGTTGGGTCTGGCACGATATGACAGTGCAGAGGGATAGGCCGGGACCCCTCATTCACCCTACTTCCATCCAGCCTGGCCCCACCCACTCGTCATGACGTCAGGATATTGTGTGCTTGGCGAGCTGCATGCCTTATGTCAGTGGTCACACCACACATTTGAGCCCACCCTAAGTACGCTCTGTAGTGCGCATGCCAACCTGGTGCTTTCACATTTTTTAGAAATGGGCACAATGAAGCCCTAATAGTTCGGACATCCTGCTTTCCAGGCGGTACCTGTTGGGAATGTCTATACCAATATACAACGATTTCACTGGGATCGTTGTCATTTGGATTAACGTGGCCAATGTACCTGAGACCGCGGCATGAAACTTTGCACTTTGTAACATTTTTAGTTTTGTTTTTGACTTTTCAGTTTATGTCATGTCTTCAAGTAGGTCTGGCATTGAAAACACTCGCATTATTCATTAAATCTGCTTCGCGTATATTCACTTACTGTCACAATCGTCTTGATTATGGCATGTTAACAGTAGGTTATGTTAAAAATATTTATCATCCATTTTGGTAGAATTCATATTTGAAAAAAATGATTAATTATTCTTCTTTGAAAAATTCTAACTGCACTAATACAGAACTTTAAGAGAGCTTTCACAGCATTTAATCTTCAATTTGAAATCCCAATGATCTGTCTACAGGTACGTCTTTCAAAGGAAATTAAATTTTAAGAAGACTCTTATTTTACCTTGAACCAAAGACATTGTTAAGAAACTGTCAGTTGTGTACATACTTGGAGGACTCAGGGTGTAACATGACAAGTCGTCTATAGCTACGTTCCATTATGCACAATGCATTTTCTTGATGCTGACACGTGGTGCAACGAGGTGGGAATACATTTGTGAGATGCAGCGAGTGAGGAATACAAACGCAGGGTTCAACAAGTTGGGAATGTGTGAAAATAACGGCGATGCGAGATTTCCTGTTTTCTTGATTTCAAAGTTTGTCCCGTCGTGGTATAGCTAAAATATTGGTGAATGACGTGTTAAAAAAAATAATCAACATCAATAACAACAAAGATAATTCAGATTTGAATATTTCGCAACGTCGGACAAAATACCGTTAACAGGGTGTGATTAAAATACATATAGACTCACTGTTCTTTTAACCGTAGATAGGCCGTTGAGTAGAACTATATGCACGTTCAACGTTAGCGGGTCGTTACCGCTGGCTTAAAACCAGCCACTTAACAAGTATTTATTCACGCTTGTGATGTCAACAGTATCCAGGGCAAAGCGGCTGGACAACCATTAGCCGCTCGAAGAATTTTCTTCATAAGACATCATCGACATCCGTAGTCCAGCGAGCGGCTTTACCATACCCGTTGACTAGTCATATCAACTGTTATATTGTTCACTTTCATTACAACATATACCTGACTACGGGAGGACACGATCAGGTTAGGAATATAAGAACAACAATATATTCGCTGACCAGGTAAACGGTTCTTTTGTGCATGATTCGATGAAACTAATCACTTTTGACACGATATTCATTGACTGCACTTGAGTGACGTTAATCTCAAGGATGAATCCCATTATCGATTCCATCACTTTCTATTGAACGATAAACACTTGACACTTTAAGTAAGTGAAAGTTTAGCTGTGAACAACAAAGACATACGATAATTAAGCCAGTTGCTGCATTAATTACCCCAGGGTGGTCGTGGCAAGGAATTAATTCAGGTACACGCTTGTAGTGGCCGCTCCTAGGCTATGGGGACGCGGGAAAGAGGTAGCCGATGTGATTACACCAAGGGTCAGGAAAGCGTGAGAATCAGTAAGCGTCTTTAATGTTGTAGATGTAGCGGGTAGATAAAGTGCCTTGACATTTTCTCTGTGAAGCATCATGCCAATGTAAGGAAGTTTAAGTTGCGTTATTTTTTGTTGTGTGTTGAACCCTGATATAAATATACTGTACAAATACTTGTGTTATGTAAACTTCTTCTAAGTTTATGTATAATGTCGTCTTTCTGTTAAATTATATGGTACAGTTTCGGTCCGCTATGCGTAATACCGTGTGTTGATGAGTATATATACTGTGATTAATGTCTTAAGGTACTACCGTCGGTAGTGAGTTTTGATAAAGATATACTAAAGTTAGGGTCTGCATGGTGCTATGCCCATTTCGAATTTTGAGATAGACCTGACTGTTTGCCTGTCATTAGACACATCCTCAGATGTTGTCCTAAAACCACAAGTCCTTTATTTTATCCGCTTTAATTCATAATCATAGTATTACGTTTCAGATTAATAGTTCGCTGTTTGGGGTGCAAGTATGCAAATGAAACAATTTTTAGGCTAATATCGCACATATCCAGGGGAATGCTTACCTTCCATTGTAAGGGCATGATCATCCGTCTTCTATGACAGCAACGCTTTACCGTCCTATTATGAAGGCTTCCCCTAGATCGCCCGTACTTAAACGAATTCCTAAACAGTAGGACAATAATTGACCTTAATGCCTTTGAATATTAATTGTATATGTTAGTGGGCGTTGGCATCTTTGCGATTTCAACGACAATGTCATGAGACAAACGATCTAATGATCGATCACCAATTTGCCTTCTTACACATATGTGTAAACATTGCCCCAAGGTTACCAACAGTCTTCAAAGTTATCCCCTACTTTCTGTGAGTGACTGAGAAGTAGCGTTGCTAACACTAACAGGCAGAGAACAACGACGTACATACACATGTATACTCACTGGCCCAGTCACATATGTGGTGCACGAAGACATCTAATATACGCGATGTTGTAGTGGTGTTGGATAGATTGAACGCGTTGAAGAGTGTGTGAATGTTAATGTATGTGTGTGCGCGTGCGTTCGTGCGTGTGCGTGCGTACGTGCATACGTGCGTGCGTGTGTGTGTGGTAGATTGATAATATGGGTGAAGAAGTGTATGTGGTGGTAGTGGTGTGTTAACGGGTATGGATATGTGCTTGGTTGTTTTGTGTGTTACTGTTAATATGTGCGAGAAAGTGCGTGTAGCGGTAGTGATGGTGTGTTAATGTGTGTAGTCGTGGTGTGTAATGTGTTTGTGTGTTGGTGGTGTGTGTTTATTTGTGTAGGGCAGTGTGTATGTGGCTGTGGATTAGTGTGTGTGGAAGTGGTAGTGGTAGTGATGTGTATGTAGTTTATTGTGTGTGTAGTATGTTTATTAGGATAAGGTGCGTGTATGTGTGTGTGTGGTGGCTTGGTGGAATATTGGTGTTAAATGTGTGTGGGGAAGTGTTTGAGATGGTACAAGGTGTTAATGTGTGTGAAGAATTGTGAGTTTATGTGCTACAGTATTTGCAGTGGATTGTGTCAAGAAATGTGTATGGTGTTGTTTATGTGCTAATGTATATGTAGTGGTTTGTGAGGGGAAGTGTGTGTGGTGGTGGTGGTGATGGTGTGCATGTGCTTATGTGAGTGTGGAAGTGTGGTGTGGTAGTGTGAGTATGTGTTACTGCGAGAGTGTGTGTGTGGTGGTGGTATGTGAATGTGTTTACGTTTTTGAGAATGTGTGTTGGGTGGTAGTGGTGTGTATGTGTTAATGTGTGTGAGGACGTGTGTGTGGCTGTGGTTTGGTGTGTGTGGAAGTATGTCTGGTGGTGGAAGTGTCTGTGGTGCTGGGAGTACTGTGTATGTGTTTATGTAGGTTTGGTTGTGGTGCGTGTGTATGCGTGCGTGTATGTGTGTATGTGTGTGTGCGTGTGTGCGTGTGTGTGCGTGCGTGTGTGTGTGTGTGTGTGTGGTGATATGTGTAGGATGAAGTGTAGAGTGTGTGGAATTGTGTGTGAGGATGGTGTGTGTAAATGTGCTCATGTTAGGGTAGTGGTGTGTGTGTGCACATGTGAATGTGTGTGAGGATATGTGCGTGGTGGTGGTGTGTGTATGTGTGTGATGAAGTGTGTGTGGTGGTGGTGGTGGTGGTGGTGTGTATATGTATCAATGTTTGCGAAAAGGTGTGTGTGGTGGTGGAAGCAGTGTGTGTGGAACTGTGTTGTCATGGTGGTGTGTGCGTTAATACGTGTGAGAAAGTGTGTATGGTGGTGGTGATATGTGTTATTGTGCGTGGCGGTAGTGGTGTGTATGTGTTAATGAGTGTGGAAGTGTGTGTAGCGGTGCGTGTGTGCAGTGTATGCAGGGCAGACCCTGCTCAGTTAACTAAACTTCAGATCGATGATGATCTATACAAGCAGTTAACCATAAACTAATACACTTTAAACGTATAACACCACACTCTGAAGAGAAAACACAGGACTCCGTTCAAAGACATAGAAAAGAATAATAATCTGGCCCATCTGACAAACACGTTGATGGAACAGGTTTGTGATGTAATATTGACCGCTTTGAAGTCAAAGTTGAATGCTCCATTGTTCAATGTACTTATACCACAACGCATTGGTCTTATTGAAAGCAGCGCCAATGAATCTAATATCTTTACATTTTCGTATATTCTCACAGTTCAGGAACCCGAGGGGTAAACACATGAATACAATTCGTAACTCTCGGGTTTTGTTATTTCAGATAAGAGATGACATTTTTCACTTGTAAACAATTATTAACACTGACTCTGAAATTATATTGGAGTTCGAATGCGACCATACATTGAAACACCCTAAGTAGGTCTTGTGCCTATTGCTTGAACCTGATGACATAAAGTTGGAATGTTAGGAATGTTATTCTGAAATACCTGTTGATTTGTTAACGAACGATCAACCCAATTGTCATGAGATTTTACAGTTGTTTAGTGCAATAGTTGTATGTGGTATATATCCTGAACAGTATATGTGGTATAATACTTCCTATCTTCAAGACAGGTAGTCCCAGAGACCCCATGAACTATAGTCTCAATACTAATCTGAAAGTGGCAGGTAAACTTACACAAAGAAGTTATGCATGCCCTTATATATTTCATAATTGTTTGGTCCCAATATTTGCAACAGTCATGAAAGATATAATTAGGGGAAGAATTATGTTTTCTCGAGATGATGTAATCAGTCATGCGTGACGAAAGCTCACGTGCC